TATTATAGAAGATACAAATGATATCGGACTTACGTTACGTTTTGAAAATAAAATTGAATCTGAATCATTTAAATCCAAAATCACATCACCTGTAAAAGAACAACGATTAAATACAATGCAACGTTTACCACTGGTTAGTGATGAACAACAAGACACAGACTATTTAAATTTGATTGTTTATTGTAACGGAGTTAAATTAAAACCATTAGGAGTGAACAAAGCACAAGATCTACTTGGTAAACAATATATTTTACATGTTAAAAAAACTAGACTTTATCATATTGTATGTGATATTGTAGAAAAAATAAAATCATTTAAAGAAATGGTATCATTAAGTCATACGAAAGCAACCACATTTTGTGTTGATTCAAAATCAATGATATTGTATCCTTTGCTTTTCTGTTAGACTAGTACCGTACTCAATTCAAGCCAAGTACTTTAACTCTCTTTCATAGATTCAATCAACAACATTTTATACGTGTATATCCAAATTTTCTTCAAAAAAGAAGTTGGTCTTCAAACAATATAGATCCGATGTTGTTTTGGTTTGTAGGTTGTCAAATGGTTTCGCTCAATTTTCAAATGCCAGGTAAACATGTGCACAGGGATAACAGTATTTTGACTTAACACGAGGACATGTAGTTTTTTTTCGGCTGTAGTGTTGGTGAAATTTCGAATTTTGAAAAAAATGAAAACTTATATTTTTGCCAGGTTAAGGAGGCTCCTCCTTCAGAAATTTGATTTGCTTCGAAATCTTCGAAACTGAAGTAAACATATGGTTGAGTATCCCAAACTGTCAGTTTTCGGAATTCATCTCAATTTGCCAGAAATTGAATGTTTTTGAAGGTTTTCGAAAAAGATTCCAGAAAGCCCTAAAAACTACCTTTTTCTGAATTTGACATTTCAGTGAAAATTTTTAAGATTGTCTCCTCTAACAGACATGCAGCTATGTTTGAGCAGCGTATTCTGAACAAAATGAGATCTTCCGCAGGTTTGTATGACTTCACCTTACAGGGTTATACTAGTTTTGGTAAAGACGCTGAATTATAATTAATGAAGTGATGACGTCATTGCTGAGAATATGGTTTTGGCGCAGCAAAATTGCTAGTCCTAGACGATTCGTGATAAAACATTTTTAATTTTTATTTTGAAGCTAAGAAATTTATCTAAAGTTTGATCCGTAGCGATTTTTTAGTTTCGTTCTCTGTGCAGAGAAATGTGGAAAATACTCCTCCGAGGTTAATTTCAGAGTTCCGACTTAAAATACACGTAGGAAATGAATGGAAGTGAAATCCAAAAATCGTTACGGACCAAACTTTAGATTTAGGTGTCTACTTGTATTTGAGACTACTCGCAGCTTTCTGCTTCTTCCGACAAAAAAGTCTTAGCGGTTTTGCTAAGCATCCCATTTTGCCCCTTAACCCACCTGCAACACTCCAGACTTTCAAGCTCAAATTTTTAGCATAAGCTAGCTGGATAGTAAGCATTAACCACTATTAACATCATCAAAATTGGATGTGAAAGAAAAAAGCGTTTTCCTGAGGAGCGAGCTCCTTCAGTCCAAAAGAAACTGTTTTCGGCAGTTTGTACGCCTCATAAAATCTTTTTCAATCCAAGCATTCTTTCGATATGACTGTATGCGAGATAAAAAAATTTGATTCCAGAATTACGAACAATTTTTAGTCTTTTTTTTGGCGATCACGTTTTTCTCATTATTCTGGATAAGACAATAAATTTATTATCATGACGGAAGGTAACTGATACATTGATCTTTAATGAAAACCGTAAAAATTACTTTTATATTTTTGTCAAATGTCCACATCATTGCCCCATTGTTGAATGTAGGAGGGAGAGATGAATAAACAAATAGAACTGTGCTTCATTTAGATCGACCGATGCATGTGAATCATGCCCGATTTTTAGTTAATGGAAAGTATGTATGATGTTATTATTTAATTGATATAAATGTTGTATATTTCTTATATTTTAGCTGCGGTTATGTTTTAATGCCGTTATACATTCGGACATTAAGAGAAAATATAATCGATGTATCAACATCAAGTATGATAATAAAACTTAAAGTGAGTAAATAGTACAATATATCTAAAATAAAATTAAGTCGTAGCATCTATTATTGATGAGTACTTCCATACAGGTCCGCCCACTTTATACACGACTTAAAGCCTGGAAGGTTTGACTGTATGTAATCGATAGTCCTACTAAAGGTATGTAAAGATCCCCTGTCGCCCCATGGAAAAATTATTTCGAACACGATTTTTCCTCAGTTATAAGTTCTGAATTGAAGCGTTTTTAGGGGCGCTAGAGCAGTGAAATCCGACCTTATCTAATACTATCAAGCATTCTCATAGTGCTAGCTGGAAAGAGTATACAAAGTTCCATCTTTCTATCCGCGAATGAGATTTTCTCCTCTGACATTCGGAAAGAATTTTTGCCTGGAGAACCTTATCTGCATTAGCAGATATCACTCGTTTTATAGCTTGTTGGACGAGCTCAAAATCTAACGAAACATAACTTTATTTATATTCAAATGAAAGCGGCTTCCAAGTTTGTTAGTATGACTCAACAATGAAGTCTCTAGCACTTTTTACTTTTTCGTGGTAAGCGTAGCCGTGAGATCTACTTTGGCTCTTCCTGGCCTCCTCCCTTAAATACTATACGTCAGTTCTTCGAGATCTTGTTATTCCACACACTATTCGACTAGTGCTACAAAAGGCGCAAGGTACTGACTTTCGCCAAGTGGTTTTTCTTGTGGCGGTTTTCTAGAAATCCCGTCAAAATCCTATCATCTGGCTAGGGTCAGGAACGGAAGAAAATACTCAATTACCCATAAAATGACATGCTGAATCCGAATTTCAGATTAGTTTGGATTCAATATTTATGAGCAGCAGAGGATTTTGACAGAATTTATAGAAAATCGTCACAAGAAAAACCACTTGGCGAAAGTCAGTACCTTGCGCCTTTTGTAGCACTAGTCGAATAGTGTGTGGGGTAACAAGATCTCGCACCCTAAAAAACCCTTCAATTCAGAACTTATGACTGAGGAAAAATCGTGTTCGAAATAATTTTTCCATGGGGCGACAGAGGGTCTTTACATACCTTTAGTGGGACTATCGATCGCATATAGTCAAACCTTCCAGGCTTTAAGTCGTGTATAAAGTGGGCGGACCTGTATGGAATTACCCTAATGTAAATGAGATATTTTATTCTTGATATCTAGATTCTTGCTTTTCGTCACATTCGAACAATATCAGCAAAAAGTATAACCAAAGCACGTGTTTTTATGCAATTAATTAGCACTCTATTGAATGGAACATCCACTACATATTCAAGTAAACATTATAATTAAAAGATTCTAAATAGAACTATCAGTCTCTTTTTTAATCTAGGTATCATAAAGGGTCCATGCGGAATATGGAAAGCTTGTCATAATGGACGTGATTTACAACCGTTGACATTTCAGTTTGTATCGTCAAATAGCGATTTAGACTTAATTTCTTTTGAAGTTTTAACAGAAGATCAAGAATTTTGTGGACAATCTATGATACCATTATCGTGTTTGCGATCAGGTACAAAGATCTTAATATTCATTTAATTCAAAATTAGTATTATTTCATCCTTTTTAAGGTATTCGATCAATTCAACTTTATGATAAATATAATGAACGAATTGAAATGAGCAGTATACTTGTTGAAATAAACTTTAACAAATTATGTAAGTATGCGAACAGTTAAAACTAACATTCAATAGATTCTTGCAAAATATGCTGATTGAGAATAATAGAGTACAGTTTTTATAAAAATTATCTCAAAAAGCAGAAAAATTAGCGAACTTTTGTTCAATTACGATCTTTGCATCTGTCTAATTAATTTTAGAATCACAAATTTGGTATTTGATTATGATCTCGATGCTCTTATTAATATTTATATTAGTGATTATTTTATATATATATATATCATAAATTTGTTTATTTCGGCTTCTTCACGAAATAAAATTCAGTTAGCGAATGATTCGAAATTTTCTGAATTACAGATAAAAATTTCTGTGGTACATCTCTATTTTTCTTCTATTAAAACTTTCGGACAATAGATTTATGCTCAGTTTCTTGTAATAGTTAGATTTAACGTGTATAAAGTTTGCCTGGATTATCTTTGCATTTCTTTTTAGGTGTATTGTCTCCTTTAGAAATATCCTAACATATACATCGGTATTTTAGGGGTAAAAAGTAGTGTTATATGAGATATGTGGTGATTTTTTTAATTATGTCAGATTTTAAGCATTTCATCATTCACACAATTGGCTTGAGTAAAAAAGAAGTCATATAATAATATTTTCTTTTCGTCAATATCACATCAACACTTTTATATTTTATCTGCAAACGATGTCGTCTTTTACTACAACTATGACAATATTCTTAATCTCTCATTTCGAAACTGGACAGTTTTATAGCAGGAAAGAAACGACTTTATTCTCTTATTCAAAAAAAATTTTTTTTGTTTTGCAAAATACATACACACACACACACACATATACACGTCTATACTCGTTTACGAAACGAAAATTGATCAAATAGGCCTATTCTCATGCAATGATAAGGGAGAAATTTTTTTTGTGAAACTATATCTCAATGATGTCATTTGAAATTGATCCATTTTTTTTTTTTTTTGTTTCTGAAAAGAATTAAATCAGTATAAACGATGATGACATACTCTTTTTTCTTTTTTTCTTCTTGAATAGTGAGTGTATGAAAAATATTTTATTGATAACCCAGATGGCCTTCGAACATGGGTAGTCTACAGGCAAAATAGGTAGATTTCATTTTTATGAGGATTGCTAAAAAAAAGAAATAACCAAATAATACTGTTATTATCATATCTCGTTAACTACGAGTGTAAAAGATTGACTTAAATAGCCAATTTTGAAGTGTGACCATTTTTATTAATCACAAGCGTCAATTTTTCAGTTTGGACTCATCAAGGTGGTAGATAGTCTTACATTTTTCATAAGTAGATTTTTGCAGCGCACATCTGCAAAAAGAAAACTTTGAACACTTTGCAAGGTACGTAAGAATAGATGACTTGTTAAAAGGCTCTTTTGTAGATCATGAGTTTGAATAACAACTGAATAGTTCTATGAAATTAAGTCCGATTATCGATTTTTAATCAAATTGGAGCCCGGTATCAAACATTTCTAGATAACAATACAAATCTAAGAGTTAATATTTTTACGTCATTTTCTCACTCATTTTATTTTTTAAGTAGAATGGATGTAGAACTATTAGTAATAAAAATTTAAAGATAGTTAATTTTTATTTGTTAACAAAATGTCTTTAGTAGGCGTTTAGCAGGTTTCAAAATAAGTATTAGATTCGTGATTTACGTGAAAGTTGTATTGTAGGATATATTTAACATTTATCTTCTCAACAACAAAATTCGATGAAAATTTTCGGCTAATCTACAGATGACTTTTTTTGTGAAAGTTTTTTTTTTGGTCAAATATAGATTTTGGTTAAACTATGTTTCTAACAATAAAAAAACAAAAACGTGTTCAAGCTTTTAGAAAACTCGAAAAGCAACGGAAAATGAGTTTGTTCATTTGACCCATAAAAGATGTGTTCCGATGGACAAAGTATAACATGCATTACGGGGATCAAAATAGATTTCTAACCACAATGTAGTTCACATCACCATGATATCAGGTTAAGTTTAACATGCTAGTCTGATTGGATAAAAGATGTCTATTGAGTTTTATCCCGCGTAATCTATGTTATACTTTGTCCATGAAGATCAAAACTTACGAGGGAGGGAGGTCCACCAACATATAAATCGTTTTCCAGTCAAAATCTAATTGACTATAGGTAATCAACCATGCTGATTCCGAATATCACCATGACTACTGCTGCTAGGTCTTCAAAGATCGGTTTTCTGGAAAATTAGTTTTTTAGAAACTTTAAAAAATAACCAAAACCTTTTCTTAATGCTGCATGATTGTAGCTCGCATATTTCTGATTAAAATGAGACGTCCCCCAGCTCTACACGACCTTTCTTTGCAAAGTTATAGAATTTACAAGAAAAGCCGTACATTAATTTCTTCTTATTTCTGTAGCTTTGAGCTGACAATGAACATTTATGGCTTCTTGTAAATTCTATAACTTTGCAAAGAAAGGTCATGTAGAGCTGGGGGACGTCTCATTTTAATCAGAAATATGCGAGCTACAATCATGCAGCATTAAGAAAAGGTTTTGGTTATTTTTTAAAGTTTCTAAAAAACTGATTTTCCAGAAAACCGATCTTTGAAGACCTAGCAGCAGCAGTCATGGTGATATTCGGAATCAGCATGGTTGATTACCTATAGTCAATTAGGTTTTGACTGGAAAACGATTTATAAGGTGGTGGACCTCCCTCGTTAGTAGAATCTTTTATAGAGCACTAGTTTTCAATTCTTCATGAGTTTTTGACTTTTCAGAACACGTGTGTGTGTTCTCTAAAAACATCAGAGAACCCAATATAAGTTGTTTTATAAGCTTATTTTCAACTCTTCATAAATTCTAAAGCCAGTTGCTTAGATAGAACGAATGAAGAACGCGTTAATTGACAGTGCATAGGACTCTATGAAAATCAACAAATTTTTTTTAAAAGATCGTCTCATACAAAAATTTCCAATGGAATAGTTTTTATTTTAAGAATCATTATACTTAACGAGAATGACAGTGCAGAATTATTCTTATACAATAGTTGCCTAACTGACTTGAGCCGACGCAAAATATAATAGCTAAACCGTCAAAAATTCTAAAACATTTTAAAAAAAATTCTTGGATTTAATGTCCAATCATTTTAGACGTCACATTTGTAATTTCCTTACATTTTTTTTCTTCTGTGACTTGACGCTCTAATCACCAATCAGTGTCAAAAAAAGCATCATATTGTTCATTTTTCTTGCGTCTTTTCTGTTGTCTTTGCATTTCATTTAAAATTCCAATAAATTCTTTTAAAAATATTCGAATACTAGTCGAGTTGAAGTGAGTATTCTACGTTTGTTTGACGTTATGGCATTTATTGAATGTATTAGAGCAGAAAAGAACATGCTTATATAACAAAATTCGAACTCGATTATTTTTAAAGTTCACTGATGGATTTAGCATGATTTATTGAAATTTTCACAAGAATAGTCATATTGTTGAAAATAGTGCGAGGTATTGAGAACATTAGAAGAATGAGTCATTATTTGCTACCAGTAAATTATACGTCTACTCAAGGGTTACATTCACATCAGAGTGCTTTTTTTTTCTGGTAAAATTATACATCGTCATTTAACAGTATCTGTTTATAAGACTATACATTTTTAATGAGAAAAAGAAGAGATGATATGTCATAATTGATATTACACACTTTTTTCCTTCAGTTCATATATTTCAAAAGAAAATTGAGTAGACAGGCATTAAAATTTATTGAATTTTATTTTATATATAAAATTATTTTAGTATTCAAAGAATTCATTTATTCATTTTTACTAACCGGTGGAGATTAGGCAGAAAAAGAATGTGCAAGAGTCAATAAATTAGTCTAATTTTGATTTGTGAATTATTACGATGAGAATTAACTAGATGAGTTTTATATACTTTATAAAATTTTGAGAGTTTATCCATTGAACAAGATTATAATTAGGAAAAGCACTTCTTATTTTTCGTTGTTATAAATATATATATATGCAGATGTCAAGTATGTTTAGCTATTGCAAATGAAGAGAAAAATTGACAGGGGTGTGAAAGAAAAAGAAGAGACAGAATCTGTTAAACGGGAATGTCATTCGCTTCATTTGAGCGAAAAATAGATGGTTTTTGGCGTGGATTCGAACGTTTTTCATGGACACATGATCATCTGTCTATGTTAATTAATCACCATTTTGTACATCGCCTAAGAACAAAAAAAAAGGTATATATATATATATATATATATATATATACAAATGTTCATTTACTGTATTACAGCGATAAGAAATTCCATGACCTTCTGCGAAACAAAGAAATGTCTATACACACACTCTTTCATCCCATTAACGGTACACGATCAGCAAAATCCAAAGAAAGAAAAAAAATATTGCGTCTATCATACATACACGTATTCAGTTGGTTAGCAAAAAAATTAGCAAAATGATCATCATCATATAGAGAGGGAGAGAGAGTTAGAGAAAGAGAAAGAAGAAAAAAAAGCGTGTACATATTCCTTTTCTTTTTTCGTCCGGCCCGTTGAATATAAATTGCCCTACATTCTGCTTTTTTGTGTAAATCTATTTTATACCCTCCCCGTGTCTTCAGGCACACGCACATACAGACAAAATGCAATTTTTGAATAAAAAAAAAAGTCCTTTGTGTGTATGTATCCTAACAAAATCGACGATGTCTTTTTTACAAAAGAAAGAAAGGAAAGAACGAACGAATCTTTTGAATATTATTATTAAGCATGTAGATGTATTGGATCTATCTAGTAAAAATGCATAGAATGTATAGTAAAAAAAAAACATGCAAAGAAAAGAAAAAGGAAAAAAACTCGTATAGCGTACATTATCCTTAAACCATAACGCTTTCTTTTTTCTCATCTAAGACATCATCACATACAAAAAAAAGCGCGTGCATGCGCACACAAAACGTTCTTTCTTCTTCTCTATCACCACAAAAAATTCAAACATTCACGAAGTCCTTGAACGGCAAAAAAAAGAAATCTCATCGATGATAGATTTTCATTCCTTTTTTTTTGTTCCAATTTCCTATAAAAAGATACTTTCCTATGTAGCAAATTATCAATCGATATCTAGAATCGATATGTGATTTTCTTTTTAAAAAAAATAAATAAACGGAACACAAAAAGTCAATCAGCTGTTATTGAAGAAGAAGAAACAAGAATAGATAACTGGATCACATCATTACAATATAGATCTGAGAAGAACAAGAAGAAAACGACAGTTTCCTCTCTCTCTCTCTCTCTCTTCTTTTCTTAGCTATTGTACACAATACAAAATACACACATACATACACGCATAACTATTGAACTATTCTTTTTTCTCTTTGTGCTCTTATAGAACGTATTCTCTTTTTTCTTAATTATGTTGTTGAACAAGGTACTGAATAATTATTATTAAAACTATGCAAAATCATCATTAATTATTATACATCTTAATTCTTCTCTTCATGAATGATTGTTACAGCATCGATTTATTAGATAAAATGGTTAAACAGGATGGTGGAGATGATGAAATTTATCCGACAAAACAACAATTAAAATTATTACAAGAATCTCATTCATCATCGTCACGTTCGTCATCTATCTGTTCATCATCAACTGGTTTATCACCAACAACATCAATAAAGTTTCACCCTAATCCTATTTTATCTGAAACAACAATTGAACAGCAACAACAGTCGTTAACAACATTGCCATCATCGAGCATCATTATTGATCCGGATTTAGCTCAACATATTGAATATGAATTAGGCCTTACAAAGAAAAATGGCAATGGTAGTGGTGGGACGAGAAAAAATGCATGGGGCAATTTGTCCTATGCTGAGTTAATAACAAAAGCAATTAACAGTAGTCAAGATCAACGACTAACATTGTCTGAAATATATGATTGGATGATTAAATATGTACCATTTTTTAGAAATAAAGTGGATCGGAACAGTAGTGCAGGGTGGAAGGTAAGATGTTATTAAGGCACAAATAGTCATTGAAGGACTGTATCATATAAGAGGTGGATCAGCATGTTAGATCTATTTAACTATTTAGATGATACTGTTAGAAAATAGCATAATCTCAATATATTGAAGAAATTAAGATTTCATTTTTCTGCCTATTTAGAATTCGATTCGTCATAATTTATCGTTACATAATCGCTTCAAACGTGTACAAAGTGAGGGTACTGGAAAAAGTTCTTGGTGGATAATTAATCCGGATGAAAAAAATTCAAATTCTACATCAGTTACAAAACAAACACGACGACGTTTACAACAACAACATTCATCACCAACGACTAATAATTCTAATAATAAAATGTCTCGTACAACAGTTCAACCTCGACGTACTCGTCATGCACGTACAACGAAAATGATGAATGATAGTAAGTCAAATTCTGTAAATACGACTACAAGTATCGAACGAACTTCTTCGACATACGATAATTCTAATACTCATTCGTCATTATCATTACCATTACCATCGTTACAAAACGGTAGCGGACATTTATTGCCGCCGTATGATACGTCAAATTACGATCAACAATGGCCACAATCACATACCGACGCACTTGATACAACAAGTCTTTACGATCATTCTAATACAACAGATTTATATCATCCGTACGACGCATTTGACGACGGAACACGATATCACAATGAGGCACATTATCAACAACAACAGCCGTCGTACAATCAATCACCGTTTTGTCCGTCGATGTATCATCCAAACTATCATCAACATCACCATCAAACTGCCTATTATCAACAAGAACAAACACCTTTAACAGTCTCAGTTGATAATTATACACCATCTTACAATTTACAATCAAATGAGACGACAGACGATCAACACAATAATTATTTGTCAAGAGCACATTCATCGTCATCTCATTCATCGTCATCACTATCACCACCACAACTGAATAACACTCTTAACTCTACTGTTTATCCCACAACAGTCGCCACATCATCATCTTCTTCACGTACACACAGCTTAAGTAGAAAGTCATCTTTAAACAGTTTAATTCAACCACCACAACATTATGAAAACTATTTACCTAATCATGTTTATCATAAACCCGGTTATCATCAGTCTAATACGGATGGTGGTGGTTTAATTTTCAATGGTCATCATCACCATCATCACGACATTGAAACATTGCTACATCTAAATTCCGTAGACGATGATAATTTATCACCAAATACAGTGACTATTAACGAGCGGTTTTATACCGGTGGACAACAACAACCTCAACAACAATCAAATTCAATATTACGTACAGTTTTAAAACGCACGCATCCATTTGTAGGTAAGACAAACTACTATGGTTAACCTATAAGTTTGATAGATGTTCTTCTAAAACTCTTAGTTTTTCAACTTGTGAATGATTTGAAAGGCGGCTGGTATCGAAAAGAAAAGTGTCAGACGTTGTTAATGAGCTAATAACTGAATGAGTACTAAAGTTGAATCATGAAATTCAGTTTTATTTTATTTTTTTCTAAACAAATCTTTAGGGTTTCAGAAATTAGGATTGTTTTATGGAGAAATATGAATTTTTTTCGCACACGATTTCATAGTTATTATCTGTTAAATAATGTATGTCACTTTCACGGTACAAGTACATCCAACAGATGTCGCATCTGGTACATGAGCTTATACATATATATATATATATGGCCGAGTTTTGATCATACCTTTACTCGCTGGCTTGCTCATGGTGAAAAAGGAAAATTGAGTAGTTTTAATTCACTCACTTCAATTTCTCTCTCTCTTTCTCGCAGATGATTAGATTTTAAGATTACCAGCAGTCACGTGCATACATCTAGCGTTTTCAATCGTAATGTTTATATTACACTAAAGTTTGCATATGCTGCCAGGGTATTGAACAGAGAAAGACAGTCTTAAAACACGATTTATTTATTCTCATGTTTCATTTTTAAACAATTATTTGTCGTTATTTTTGTCCATTTCAGATATGCACAACCAAGAGGTATAACAGTATTTACCAACGACATTTCACTGTGCAATTATATATTTCGTTAAAATGCTTTCTCGCTCTCTCTTCCTTTCGGTCATGACATCCCATACTCATGTCTTTCGAGAAAATAAAAAAACAACAGTATTTCTCCTGTACCTCCATCTCCTCTTCACATACATTTTCATTGTATCTCTCTTCTCAACACAATTTTTTATATTACCAAAATTGAAACCGGTGAAATTTCAAAAAAAAAGAAAAAGTTCTCTTTTTTTCTCGCTCTCTGTCTCTCCACATGAAGAACAAAACAAGAAATAAAAAAAATCAGAATAATTCTACTCTACTTTTTCACATCGGTGCGACAAAAAAAACTCTAGTTTTTTATAAACTTTTTATTTGATTATTTTTCAGTTTTTATTGGCGTCGTCTTTCTTCTTTTACAAAAAAATCAAACTTTTTTTCACGAATGTTTTTTCTTTCATTTTTTGTAACATGTACAAAGTATTAAAGTCATATTCGACAAAAAAAAGGACAGAAAAAAAATACGATTAATGCCGGCCGAGCTAAATAAGAAGAACAAAACCAAATCAGAAACGAAATGCAAATGAGCTCGAGAACAAGTCAGAATAAAAACCGATATAAAAACGTAGTAACTTAATGCTACTCGAGAATTTAAGGTTTCCGCACAATTTGATATCCTATAAGAAATCATTAGAATCAAATATTTGTCAGTACATTTGTTGTTCTTATGCCGTCATTCTTCTTTTTTGTTCTGTTTCCGTTTTTCTATTGATAGTAATAGAAAAATCTAAAGTCAACCAAATGTCATTTAGTTTATCCGTCAAAATAAACAACAATTATGATCAAGCGTTATTCTCACAGTTATTGTGGCTCAATTGAAGTCGTGATAAACTAATTGATAAAGTTAAACCAGTACTATTGGTTAGTAGACGGGCGATACTGTTAAACTACATACAGGATTTCCATATTAAAATTCGATCAACTTGAATTGAATTAGATTGAGGGAAACATTTAGAATGCCATGATAATTAGCATTTTTATGCATCATATAATGCACTTCTCTAATTTCTTTAATCTCACCGCAATAAATCAACTTCACGCACGAAAACATACAAATAAATTCTGAAGAATGAATATTATTTTGCGATATCACATTCATTAAAGTATAGTTCATTGGTCTCTATTACTACGTTTTTTTTGCACTTGCTGTTATGTGTAGGCGGTTTAACCTTTTACCATTCAATTTGTCATAGCTAGTTTCAAGGTTAGGCACAAATTATTACTTGTTCTATAATAAAAGACTTGTCAGCATTGCCCTAGGGGGCCAAAATGTGAAAACTTTTTTCCTGAATATACGCACAAATATATAATCAGTACTCACTAGTCTGTCTATCGTTCTCCTTAAAATAAGCCACAAGAAACATTCAATTCTCGCTTTAGTATGAATACATCTTTATTTCGACAACTACTGCTGTTGTCGTTGATATGTTGGATGATGAGACTGGCACTAACGAGAGACGTTAAAGCAGTCAGTTACAAATCACAAAACATTACGCCATCGTGTCTCATCTGTCCGACCGCTTGGAAGATGGGAGCGATTAGCAGAAGGTGTTTCAAAAATAGGTAACAAATATCGTAGAATCCGCCGAAATTACTCTGAAGATCTCTAAAGGTTTTCCAAATGGTTCTATAGAAAGCCAGGTTTCCAGAAAACCTTTTTTGTCCAAAATTTTAGAAAAAAACGTTCACCTCCATAGAGAAATGAATTTTCTTGAAAATGAATCGTTTTCGAGGGTTCTCCGATGTCCTCTCATCGAGATATTCGATTTTGAATTTAGCACTCATTCTTTATCTAGATCGAACTAGGGTTTCGGGCCATCTAAAAGTCGCAGATCCTTGAAAATGATTCATTTTTTGAAGGAAACTCATTTTTCTATGAAGGTGAACGTTTTTATAGAAAAGTTTGGACAAAAAAAGGTTTTCTAGAAACCTGGCTTACTATAGAACCATTTGGAAAACCTTTAGAGATCTTCAGAGTAATTCCGACGAATTCTACGATGTTTGTTACCCATGAAACTCTGTTTCTATTGATTTTGAATGAAAACTAAGGATTTTATTGAAAAATGACCTGGGCCTTTTTGGACGATATTGCCTAAATTTTAATAAAATGAAATATCTCAGCAACGAAGTAAAATTTACAAAAAAGTGATCTATACCTTTTTTTCCACTGATATGATGATTCGAATGAAGAAAAGCAAAAATTTTTGTCTCTTAATCAGAAAACTCGGTAGGTTTGCAAGATGAACAGGGGCTCTTTTCTAGTTCTACTTGAGTTTCTCGAAATCTGACTCCATTTTAACTACGGAAAATGTCAATTTGGTTTTCTATAGTCAGTTTTGCATGCCGAATCAGAAAAAAGATTAGATTCAAATCATAGTGCAGGAATAAACATGAAATTCTGAGAAATAAGCAAAATTTTCATGTATTTTTGCCTCTTTTTTAAAAATCAGTATTTTGAAAATTTTTCACGCAAAAGTGACTTCAAAAGTCTAAAATGGACTTTTTTGTATGTAACTCGATGAGGTCTATCCAACTATAGCGGAGAAAACGAAAAAAATTCTACTCCACTTTGCATTATTTAGCACCTTACCGGAATCTATGAGTATATTTTGAAAGCTCAAATTGATTGATTAAATTAAGTTTGAATGCATGGTGATAGATCGAAATGGCGTTCTAATCAATTTTATGAGTGACGTTGGGACCTGCCATACTCAAATCACTAAGAAATTTTGCTGCCTTTAATTTCATATCACTCACGATACAGTTGAGAAGGATGAATGAGATTAACTATGACCGACAAATTATTGTTAAGAATTCCTAGAAAGCTTTAAAAAAATTGAGACTGAATAATCGTGCCTTTTGCGCGGAGACAATGTAAAAAAGTATACTATTATGGCTAGTTTGAGTAGTTAAGTTCTTGATAAGAGGATACTTTAACTCGAGAAATCAACACTTCAAATCAATTTAGTGTAAGTACACGTACTTGTTTAGTAAATTATAATCTTGAATTTATTATGATGTTACTGTCTATCTGCCATTTTCTTTCATTTAGTAAATCCACATTGTTCTATAATACCGAATATGGTATTATGATTGTATTTATTACAAAAATGAACATTAGTTAAATACTACATTCAGAAAACTGAATTTGATGAACTCATTTGAAACTATTCAACAAGTTTTAAGAGCACTCCTGTTCTCTTTAAAAATAATTAGTTTTATAATGAAGCTTACTTTTTTTTCCTTCCTTTTCTTTCCTTTCTTATAACGAAATTCAATATGACTACTTGATTACATTATGATTAATATAATTAGTACACTAGTGACCACCGTCCATTTTTCATTTACTCAATCTCGTTTACTATTCAAAGAATATTCATTTAGTATACACATTCCAACAAATTATAAACACGTGTTGATATTGCGTAACACAGTTATATAAAAATTTTATATAATCATTATTTATAATTCACATAGAAATCACTTTTACGAAATTAGCTGTTGAAAACACACCAACCGAATAGTTTTTGATTGAGAACATTTGAGGGACATTCATACAATTAAAGTCCGTTAATTATCAACAATAAATATGCGTTTTTCCATACATAGACTTATCATAGACAGTTTTACCAGATTTATAAGGATCGGATTCGAATACTAAGAGATTCAGATTTAAGAACTCTCCGATCTTGAAAGTCTTAACATTTTGTCTGTTATAGTTAAATCTCAACCAAAATTTTGAAATGATGCTCTTACAGACGGATATTTTCAGTAAAAATTGAATTTTTACTTGTCTGATTAATGAAAAACAGATTGCTTAAAATTAAATTTTTAGATTAAAAACATAAATTACTCTTTTATCAAAACAAACGATATTTTAATAATTGATGAAAATCATCCCTAGTTTGTTTAACGAAAATTACGCACAAAGTACAGTTCAGAAATTAGGTGAATTGTTCAGTTAGTTCGATATGTATACTAGAACATCGTAGATTATTGCGGGAGCTAATTAACAAGTATTATACATCTGTTCATCGGGTCATTTTGATCGAAAGTGTTATTTAAAACATAGTACATTTGATTGAACATTATAAAAACAAGTCATTTTATCATTTTATTTTTAAGTGGCAGAAAAAAAGTGTCTTTTAAGTGTGTTCCAGAGCTGGCAACGGGCCATATTTTTAGCGGCCCGTCCCGACCGGCTCAGTATTTACTGTGACGTATCCCGACCGGCCTGTATGAATTGATTATTCAGCCTGCCCGAATCGAACTGTGATTTTATTCGACCCGACCGGTTCGGCCCGACTTGGTCCACACTGTGTTCCACGTAATAAGCGTCTCCGATATGTCTCTACAGTGCCTTTCTAATGTCTATGATGTGTCTTCT